AAAGACAAAAAAAGAATTATTGAATACACAAAGAAACATGAAACAGTAACCTAGGCACAAAAAATAAAGGAGGGATGGGGCACTCTATAGAAACTGACCCTGGACTTGCCTGGAGAATGAAATGGGCAAAGACCTCTAAAACAGTGGTTCAGAATAGATTCAATGAACTGAAGGAAAATATACTTAAACAACTAAAGGAAGGGGGACTACTCTTAAGCATAGTAGAGTTAGGAAATACCAGCATAATATAAACATATAGAAAATAGTCAAATGGAAAGTTTAGAATTAAATAGAGCAGATTGGGGTGCCAGCAAAAGAAAAAGATGGAGGAGAAAACAATAAACAGCAGTCTAGGGGAGGGAGTGAACAAGATTCATAAAAGCACGCAGAAAGCAAGGTATGGTGGTCTATAGCTGTAATTCCAGTACTGGGGAAGGTGAGGCAGGGGGATTATGAGTTAAGGGCCAGCCTGGGCTATATAGGGAGACTGTGTCCTGAAACAAAAAAAAGGAAAATGAAGGTGGTCTATAGCTGTAATTCCAGTACTGGGGAAGGTGAGGCAGGGGGATTACGAGTTAAGGGCCAGCCTGGGCTATATAGGGAGACTGTGTCCTGAAACAAACAAAAAGGAAAATGAAAGGGAGAGGGAAGGAGAAAACGGAAAGAAAATGAGAAGGAAAGAGAAAAGTATACAGACTCTTCTGCCACAATGGTGTCAAAGGATACCCTCCAGTGATTATTCACAACTATAGGAACATCCATTTCAACAAGTATAGCATTGCCTTTACAATAACTAAAAAGCCAAGTGAGAGAGCTGAGTACCTTAGTACTTATGCTTAGTAGTCAGTAGCTTATTTTAGCAAAACAGTAGGATATATTGAAGAAGGTGTCCTGGATGCTTTAGTTGTCAACTTGACACACCTGGGTAGAGGGAGCCTCAATTGGGGAATGTCCTCCATTGGACTGGCCTATAGCCATGTCAATGGAGCATCTTCTTGATTATTGAGCAATGTAGGTGGGCCCAACTCACTATGAGTGGTGCCACAAGAGGGCAGGTGGGCCTATATTTTATAAGAAAGCAAGTTGATCAGGAGCCAAGGGAGCAAGCCAGTAAGCAGCATTCCTCCATACCCTGTGCTTCAGTACCTGCCTCCAGGTTCCTGTCCTGAGTTCCTACCTTGTACTACCTCAGTGATAAATTATGACCCAGGAGATGTAAGCCAAACAAACCCTTTCCTCCCCACATTGGTATTGGTCAGAGTGTTTTATCACAGCAATGGAGAAACAAACTAGGACAGAAATCAAGAAGAAAAGAAAGAAGAGAGGATACTGACAAACTCATTCTGATGCCAGCATTAGTCAAATACCAAAGCCAGACAGGTTTAGAAAAAACAACCTAGAAAACTATAAGCTAATATTCATGATGAACAAAAAATTTTTAAATCTTCAAAAATGCTAACAAACCACATGCAAAAGCACATCAAAAAGATTATTCACCGTCATCAAGTATGATGCATCTCAAGAATGCAAGGGTGATGCACCATATCAGCAGAGCAAAGGACAAAAATCACATGGTCATCTCAGTAGAAACAGAAAAAATATTTACTAGAATTCATCATCAGTTCATTGTACAGAATCTGAACAAGGTAGGAATAGAATGTCTCAGCATAATGAAGGCCACGTGTGTGTGTGTATGTGTGTGTGTGTGTGTGTGTGTGTGTGTGTGTGTATAATAAGTGCAAAGCTAACACCATGCTAAAAAGAGAAAATTAGAGACTTTGAGATCCCCTGGAAGGCAAGGGTGATATTTTTACTACTTTCATTCAACAGGATACTTCAGTCTTAGCCAGAAAAATCCAGCAAGAGGAAGAAATACAGGGTATCCAAATCGGAAAGGAGGAAATCAAACTGTCACTGCAGATGAAATGCTCTTACATATAGTATATGCTCCAAGACCAGATAAAAATAGAAGTATGAAACAAACCCAGCAAAATTACAGGATATAAAATTAACATACAGAAATAAGAGAAATAAGTGTTATTGCTACAAACTAATAGTGAATCTGGAATAAAAGTCAACAAAACAATCTCATAATAACTATAAAAATACCTAGGAAAAAAATGTAGCCAAATAGGTGAAGATCTTTACAATGAAAATGATAAAACACTGATAAAAAAACATTAAAAGACAGAAAAGCATTCTATGTTCATGGATTGGGGAAATCAGTGTGAAAATGGAAATGCAATAATATGTTAGGGGAATATCTACTTTCCCACATTCATTGTAGTATTATTCACAAACTGTTCCAGTTACTTTTTATTGCTGTGACAAAACATTCTAACTACAAACAAGTTGGGGAGAAAAGGGTTTATTTTGTTTTATAGCTCCCAGTGACAGTCTATCTTTGAGGTAAGTTAAGCAGGAACTCAGGGAAGGAACCTGGAGCACAGACCATCGAGGATGGCTTCTTACTGGCTTGCTCCTTTGGCCTGTGCTAAACTTGCTTTCTTACACAATCCAGGACCACCTACCAGAGCTGGCACTACCCACAGTGGGCTTGGCCCTCGCACATCACTCAACAATCAGGAAAATGCCTCACAGGCATGCCCACAGGCCAGTGTGATAGAGGAAATGTCCTAATTGAACTTCCCTCTTCCCAGGTGTGTTGACAATGGATGCTACCCAGAATACAAGGCATAAAACAGAAATGTATTCAATAGCTGACATTTGTTTTTAAAATGTAGAATGTACTTACTGTGGAATATTATTAGGCCCCTCAAAAGAATACTAGGCCAGCCAGTTGGATCAGTGGTAAAGGCTTTTGCTACTAAGCCTGATGACCTGAGTTCAGTTACCAGAACCCACATGGTACAAGAAGTAAATAGGTGCAGGCTGTCCTCTGATTTCCTAATATATGCCTTGGCACGTGCAGGTGTGTGTGCATGCATGTGTGCACACACACAGATACACACACATAAACAAATGTAATTTTGAAAACTTTTTTAAAGAATAAGATTCTGTTCTTTGCAACAGTAAGAATGAGGATGGAGGACATTATGCTGAATGTAATAAACCAGACACAAAAAGAAAAGTACTGCATGTTCTTACCTATGTGTGGATTCTAAAAAAAGTAACTTGCTTACAGAGCATAGATAAATGGTTTACCAGAAACTTATTGGGAGATGAAGGGACAGTGTTGATCAATTCTACATTTTGGTTAGACTGGAAGAATAAATTTTAGTGATCTATTTTACTACATGGTGACCACTTAAATAATAGTTTCAAAATTGTTAAAAGAATAGATTTTATAAACATTTTTATTAATTCTTTGAGAGATTCATAGAATGTAGGTTGATCATATCCACCCCCAGTACTCCTCCTAACTTGTCCCATAGCCACCCTCTCTCCCAAGCTCATGCTCTCTTTTTTAAAATAACCCAAGTCCAATTTGTGTTGTCCATATACTCCTGAGCGTGGGGTCAACTACTGAAGGATGGTCTACCACCAAGAACCATACCCTTTAAGAGAACTGACTCTTTCCTCCCTCAGAAGCCATCAGTTGTTCATAGCTCCTCAGCTGGGGGTTAGGGCTGAATTGTTTCCCCTTCCATGCTGGAATACTGACTGGCTTGATCTTGTGCAGGTCTTGTGCAGGCAGCAATAATTGCTATGAGTTCACAAGTGACGATGATCCTGTCATGTCCAAAAGAACTTGTTTAGTCCCAGTCCTCCCCAAACTCTGACTCTTAACAATCTTTCTGATCCCTTTTCCACAATAGTCCCTGAGCTTTAAAGAGTGGTGATAGAGATGTCTCATTATGACTGAGCACTCTACTGACATTTATTGTCTGCATTTTGATCAGTTGCAAGTTACTGCATTAACTACAGCCTACTGCACAAAGACACTTGAATGAGGTCTAAGAGCTGCACTAATGTACAGGTAGAACAATACAAATTTAGAGCACAGTTTGATACTATGTCCATTTAGCAGATTCAGTCCTGGGGTCCATGAACTCCTCAACCATGTATTCTGGGCCAGATTTCCAGTACCAAGTATGTGTTTCGTCCTGTGGAAAGGCCTGAAATCAGATCAGAAAGTGATTACTATATAACATTCATGCCACTAGTGTACCCATGTATCTTACTATATTGATCATTATTTATAAGTTGACATGGTTCGCAGCTAGATAAGGCTCTTGATGCCTTCCCCGCAGCAGCCTACATAATACTTTCCAGTACTATGATAGATAGCCAGCAAGGAGGAACCTTTGTAGACAGTACTGATTTGTTTTCTACATGTCCCACAACCAACATGTGTGGTGTCTTTAGCAATAGGGTCTTACCATCAAGTTCTAGTGGGTAACCAAGAGCAACAGCAGTAGCCTGTATTGTTTTTAGTGTCTCCAGGATACTTCTGACCAACACCTGGAGGAAGGTATCCCACATCTCATGCTGGGCTTCTAATTTGGAAACCTATGACTTCTGGAAAAAACATAACCCCCTGTGTAGGTAAATTCAAGGAAAAATAATAAATTTTTAATGTTCCATTCCCAAAACATTGTAAGTTGATAAGATAATGGAAATGTTAATTATCTTGACTGAGCCCACAACGAATGTGCAGATCAAAATATCACACTGTGCCTCATTAGTATACATAATTATTATT